AGTTAAATGTTTTATTTGACATTTGAAATGTTTTGTACATCTTTAATAAAAGAAGAGTCAGATACTGGAGATTTATGTGCTAAAAACACAGGTCGTTAGAAGTTATTTACTCAAATCCAAATTACGGCAGTTAGAATGTGATTAAAGTTTGAATTTTATTTTTATTATTACTAATATGTTTAACAGCTTAAGCAGTCTCAACAATAACCTTTAAGCTATTAGCATTTTAAATGTCGGCGAAAAGTCTTGACAATATATAGATCGAATTTTCTATCGTGCTTATTTTGCACGCAAGTTTAAACTTCGCGATTCCTGAAAGCTTTTCGAAATAAAATTACATTAACCCTCAGAGATTGCCTTGGGAATGTTGTTCAGCGCCGCGGTCGACTTCTCTAAAGGCACCAGTGTAATCATCATTATAACTTAACGTAATTTTGCATCACGATAATTTTACTCAATAGGCCTCGAAGATTCAGAAGAAATCTTGAATAAATTTATTCACCGTAAACAGTCTGCTTTGCATTAAATGGTTTACTCATATAGATCATAAATGAAGGTTCATTATCGCGAAGAGTTCATTATGAGAAAGAGTAGATGCGACCATAATATTATCAATGTATCAATGAATTTTCGTGATATTATTTATGGAATGAATATGCTCGCGCGGCTAACTTTGAGCCGTGAAAAAAACGAAAGTTGAACTCTTCTTAATGGTTTCCCACAATTTCTCGAAGACAAACGAGGCAAGTAGAATGATTCATGAACAAATTAAACAAACATTACAATGATATAAATATGGTCCTAAATGGTATTGCTATTTCAATATCCAGTAATAATCAAATTATTTGTTATCAGATCTGAAGCATGTTCAAGTACAGAATAAATGATTACTTACTGTATCTATAAATTCAATCTGCAAAATTGGGCTCATTAGTAATTATAAATTGATTTGAGCCTAACAAGTAATTTCTGCTTATAATATTATTTCAATTTTCCGCTCTCTGTGTTTACAAACTTTGGTTTTTAGATAGGCTAACGGTCAATTTTTTACCTATTCCGGTCAATATTCCAGGTACGTTGAATCATTCACTGTTTTTGGCTTTTGACTATTACTTTTATTTTTTTAGCGGATTTTCTCATTTATGGAAAAAATGCACTAATGTGCTCGCCATGTCCATCTGTTTGTCTGTCTGTCTGTTTATCCGTCCGTCCGTGACCTTAAGTTTTCGTCGACGAGAAAATGCGCTCTCTGTCACTCACTGCAGTGAGTACTGAGTTATATTTTTTGTATCCTAGGGGTTACTTTATTTTTTCCCTCATTCATCACCTCTATTTAGATATATTTTGAAAAGTTGTTAAGGCTTATCGCCTGTGCTCTCAATGTAAAATTTTAGTTGTTCTGGCTAGAATTCCAAGGGCCACTTAATAATAGCCAGGCAGGAACAATTAGAAATAAAGTCTTCAGATAACTCCATTTAAATCTTCTTTATTTCAGGTTTTGTTAAACTGCGGGACAGAAACGCCGCAAATAAATAGAAAGTCAAATACACAAATAAAAGTATTTCAAATAATCAAGGATTCAAGGTAAACGACAATTAAATCGCAATGTTGCCAGATATATCACTATGACTCGCCTATGACTGCAGGTTATTGAACTTACGTGAATGGCAGCCCTAGTCTGAATTGTAAACTTAAGGTGGAATTTGGTCGCTTTACCCTAGCTCTGAGAAGTAGACAAATTACGTTACAATGTTAGGGATTACAATGGGGTTCGTTACATTTGTCATTTCCGTTTTGATTCACCACCGATGACTTCGCGAATGAATGTTTACTTATTTGTCATTGCTATGTGATCCACCACAGAGGTAATTACTAGGATTGTTTATCGTGTTCATCTTCAGTGTTAATATAGTAGTAGCCTTTCTGGAAATATTGAATATTATTATTTATATTAGTTTATCGTTGTGTGTTATATTTATTTGTTAGTGTTGCGTTAATTCGAGTCCTCAATTTGTATTTATTTGTTTTTTTCAGCTCGGCTCCGAACTTAGGACGTGATTAGGAATTAGTGGGCAAGGGTCAGAAAGAGACACGGTTTATAGTTTTGTTTTCTTGTATTTATCGTTATTTTGTTATTATAGTTCTTAACTTATCAGTGTTTATTCATCCTTTTTTATTTACGATCATTGGCCAAGTGTTCGGGGTCAGATAAAGTTTACTTGTTGACTAGTCCCCAACATAATGGTGCCGTGCCTGTAGTTTTCGTACCTGGGTAAATGTTTCGAAGATAAAGTAACGTAAAGTAAACTACCGTAAAGTACAAGTAAAGTAACGTAAAAAGTAAAGTAGCGAAGTAAAGTAAAGTAACGAAGTAAAGTAAAGTAACGAAGTAAAGTAACGTAAAAGTCAAGTAAAGTAACGTACAAGTAAAAGTAAAGTAACGTTCACGACATCGTGTGTTTCGGAGCCTTGTCTCTTGTGGTGGATCCCCGAACGCGCCTGACAGCTGGTCACAGGACCCCGCAAATTTGTGAAGCTTGTTGCCCGCACGATCATACCTTCTCGAAATGTTAAGTGATCGCAACGAAGGCCTAGCAGTTTCCAGCCTAAATGAATATGCTTTCGTGAAGGAAAACGTGGATTATTTCGGCCAATTTTTCTCGAGACTCCAGATCCTGGAGGAGTCCCTATCGAATGATGTTCAGGAAGTGCTGAGTAACTTCAGGAGTACGTGGGCTCCGTTTTTCCAGAAAAACGGGCAAGTAACGCTGCAGAACAGAATTAACCGCGAGCAGTGCAAGAAGACGAAGGATACCGCTACTCGGTACGCGCCTTCGTCTAGTTTCCTTCAACACGATAATTTTCGGCTTCATCCCCGAGATTTTGGAGCCCAGGCTGAAGCAAAAATGCCTCGTGTAAGAAGAAACGGCAACCGAGCAGTTCGGAATGGCCAGATGTCACGCGGTGACTTTAGTCAACAGCGAATGCCTGATTCTGGCGACGATGTTTGCGATTTCTGTGGACGCACCGGTCACTCAAGTCAGGAGTGTCGCACTCGGTTAAAGCTATGTTTTATTTGTGGGTCTAGTTTCCATTTTCTTCGAAAATGCCCAAGATTCAGACATGCTCGTGTGAAGAAGTCTACAAATAAACCAGCCTCACGTGCAGACGTTTCTCGTGGAGTTCCGGAACCTGCAGATATCGTGAACCTAGCCGTGGACGTATACAAGGATGAAGATTTGGTTGACAGTGGCATGTTGCAAAACGGCGTTAAGGTTTCGTCGTCAGAGGCAAACTATTGTGGATACGCTTACGCTGTGCCCAATGTTGTAAAGGATCGAGGCAGTGAGCGCGACTCGTATAATTTAGCAACTGCTCATAATGTCACCCATCGAACAAACAATAGTGGTCTTACTGAGGAGTTTTATGATTTGAAAGCCAAGTATCATCTTTTAACCATTCTACAAGACCACAAGATGGAAGCTATACCAGAACGAGAGCCACGATCTGCTGCAGAAAAAGGTTCACTCGATTCGAGTTTTGAATCTAATGTTGAAAATACTCCAGATGAGGGAAGAAACGCGAAAGCGGAGAGTAAAATTTCGACCCCGGTAGATAGAGATGTTCAGCTCAAGCCTTTAGGTTCATCCGAGTCGATTTCTGCGAAAGTTATGTCTGAGAGTGGACCAGACCACAAAGGTAGTTCTTTGTTAGATAGTTTCATGTTGTGGCTCGAGCGGTCGGTAACTGTTCACGAAAACTTGTTGAGCCGTTTAGTCACTGTATCGGGGACTTTTGACTGCAACTGGCTAGATGATATGTCAGATTTATTTGAGATGGGTCGTGAACCAGGTGATTCGGTGCAGCAAATTATGAGGAAGAATGCGTCGAAGGTTGTGACTGAGCATCTAAAGTATGTGCGGGAAGGGATAAAGGGTTATAAAGAAGGCGTGGCGGAACCGTGGCAGAATGAATATGTAGGAGAAAGTATCTCGGGAGCGTAATGTTTGATAAAGTAGAGCCAACCTAATGTTAAGGGTAGTGTGATGGATTTGCGTTAAAAGGAGGTGTGGTAATGTCTATATTTCAAATGTTTCGCATAGATTGTTCTAATTATAAAGGTTCTAGTTTTCAAATGTTACATATTGAATGTATTAGTTCTAATGTTAGGCTAGTCGCCTTGTTACCAAAATGTACATATGCTTCGTGTTAGAATAATAAGGTTAATAATGCGTTTTAGTGTGCAGTAAAATTGTAAATGGGGAATTTTATACTAAATGTTCATCGTTTAATACGGGAGATATAGGTTCCAGGTTTCAATTCTTCGCTTTCATGCCCTTTCACTTTAGCTAGAGATTTTTTAAGTGCAATAGAATTTTTGCACTTGGTGGGGGGTGATGTTAGGGATTACAATGGGGTTCGTTACATTTGTCATTTCCGTTTTGATTCACCACCGATGACTTCGCGAATGAATGTTTACTTATTTGTCATTATTCTCGTATCCGTCATTTGTTTATTATTAAAGTTATTTATTAAAAGTTTGGGGAAACCAGAATTTGTTTGCTTATTTATTGAATAGACCCCAACAACGTTCAATTTAGAACAATTTTAGTTCCCAATAATCACTATGATCAACATAAACCGATCAATATTTCAATGCATACGATTGTCAAACAACAGTACAGATAATTTGTTTAAGTTTCGAAAATATATTGTCCTTACTGCGAAATGTTCAATTTAGAACAATTTTAGTTCCAAGTAAATAAAATAATAATTTCAGTATTTTGGTTTTGGATCGCAACGTTTTGGTAAATATTTTATTTATTTTATTAGGAAAAAAGATGACGTTAACATGTAAGACGTCAGATAAGAAAGCGCCTAAAGGCATTAAGACTAATGGATGAAAGGGAATAATAGAGATGTAAGGTAATTATGTAAACTAATATTTAATATGAATATGAATAATATTACAAATCATTATAAATATTTTGCAGGCACTCACCAGCGTGGATGAGAAGCGGACAGTTCTCGCGTCAGACGCTCCGTTTGCCCTGCAACAAAACAAGCATTTTTGATATGAGAACTGTACGTGATTACATCAATGATATGTTATCAATAAAATCATTTTTAAGAAAATAAGACGATGTTAACAGTAATGATGTCACAAAAGAAGCACCTAAAGGCATTAAGACTAATGGATGTAAGGTGATTATGTAAATTAATATTCGCTATCATTGACACGACTGACTCTTGCATCATCGTAATATTCTACCTGTAAAGAATTTTTACTGAACATACTTCTCCCGTGCTCAAAAAATTTGGACCTTTTAAGTAGGACCAGAGTCGATGAGCTCGAGTAAAATTCATTTTTAACCAAACTTGCCCTAGATTGTTCAGCAATTTGGTACGTTATTATTTACTTACGTTATCACCATTTTATTGTTTGTTTACCTCGATTATTTTCTCTATATTGCTTATAATTGCGGCTAACCTCAACTTAGTGTTCAAATTATTCATTCTTTGTTTTCAGACTCTATTACAATCGTCTACAAGTTTTCATTCCTAACAATTCCCTGAACTAAGAGCCATATTCTTTATAGTAATGATTGATTTGATAATCAATCAATTGATTGATTGTGTCAATTGATATGATCTATTGATATGATAGACATGGCTGAAACTTGCATCGTAATAACAGCTAGAATATTCCCAAATTACGATGCAATTTTTTCTTCTGTGCTGCCATTATATGACCCAGTTTGACGTGAACGAAAAAGTGTATATAGGTGCTACGCACAGAAAGTATGCAACTATTTGGCCAATATAACCTATATATTTTACCCTAATATTTTTCTTAGTGCTCGCATGATTATAATGAGGATTGTTGCGGATGGCCTGCAATACGGAAGCGTATTGGTGCTACGCGCAGAAAGTATGCAACTATTCGGACAATATAACCTATATATTTTTCTTAGTGTTCGCATGATTATAATGAGGATAGTCGCGGATGAACAGAAAAATGGACGGACAGGAACTGGTACATTTCCCGGACACGGATGACCGGATAACGTCCGATCCGCGAAGATTTGTGCGGATCTTTTGCGCGCCACTGTCACCGTCGCGTACATGTAAGGTAATTAATGGATGTGAAGTAAAAATAAATAAATGCAAAGCAAAAAATAAATAAAGTAATAGTAAAAGTAAAATAAAAATGTAAAGTAAATTGTGTAAACTAATATTCAATATGAATATGAATGATATAATAAATATATTATCGTGAGGTTAAGTAGACTCATAAACATTGATGGAATATAATAAAAGTAGACCAGTCATAAAAAATGATAAAATAATTCCAGGAATGGCTATGAACCGAAAGCCATCAGGAAATTGAAATTATTATTGAGATAATCAAACTGTATTATGAGCGTATCATGGACGTACAAATTACGCGTATACAGAAAAGTTACGTGCCCCTGAACACGAATAAATTATAAACATTATATAGTTTAAATTTATATGATAACTTATGTTTATTTATAACAGTATTGAGATTCGGCTCTTAGTGATAAGCTACTCGTGTCTCCTGACTGTAACAGTTGCCGGTTGGGTGTTTCTTTATTTTATTGTATTTAGAAACATGATTTTGTGCTACAAAATTTCAATAATTGCTTTATCTTTCATCATTTCTTTCAATTCATTGGTACTTGAGTTTTGAGCACCTGTATATTTTATGTATCTGTTCAACACCTGTATATTCTGTATATCCGTTGAGCACCTGTATTTTTGCGTGTCTGTTGAGCACCTGTATATATTGTGTATCTGTTGAACACCTGTATATAATATGTGTCTGTTGATCTCCTGAATATTTTGTGTATCTGTTGAACACCGGAATATTTTGTGTATCTGTTGAGCACCTGTATATTTTGTGTATCTGTTGAACTTCTGTACATTTTGAGTATCTGTCGAACACCTGTATATTTTGTATATCTGTTGAGCACCTGTATTTTTGCGTGTGTGTTGAGCACCTGTATATATTGTGTATCTGTTCAACACCTGTATATTTTGTGTATCTGTTGACCACCTGTGTATTTTGTGTATCTGTCGAACACCTGTATATTTTGTATATCTGTTGAGCACCTGTATTTTTTGCGTGTCTGTTGATCACCTGTATATATTGTGTATCTGTTGAACACCTGTATATTTCATGCATATTTTGAGCTCTTGTATATTTTGTGTATCTGTTGAACACCTGAATATTTCATGCATATTTTGAGCTCTTGTATATTTTGTGTATCTGTTGAACACCTGTATATTTTGTGTATCTTTTGAGCACCTGTTTATTTTCATGCATTTGATGTCCACTCCTGTATGTTTTGTGTATCTGTTGAGCACCTGTATATTTTGTGTATCTGTTGAACACCTGTATATTTTCTGTATTAGTCACGTGCTAAGCCCTTCAGTGTTGATAATCGTCATGTATGCGCCGCTCAGTTCTCCCTCGACAAAGACTAACGCTCACGATGTCATCCCGTCTCTCGTCTTCCGGTCCATACGCTTAAAAAATCAAAGAAAAACCCACACAAATAACAGAAAACGGAGTCTGTGTCATACAGAAAACGGAAGCTCAAATACGGACAAAAAGTCATTCGCAGGTTTGCCTGAGAGTTACACTGTAAAACTTTTTTGCGAAAAAAAGAAGCTAAGAAGATCGGGATAGTAGTTATAGCGAAATTTTACAGGCGATAGTTTTGGTGAGATAAAGGTGAGTGTTATAATAGCCGTATTTAAAGTAACTATTTACTCATATAGCTCAGTACCAAGCTGCACCAACAGAAGGAGTTTGTACCGGTAGGTATTTTGTATTTATTTCACTTTTCACTTTAGGCGACATTTTTCACTTAGGCGACAACGATCAATTTGAACGATCAATTTTGAGCATTTTTCCTGGAACCACAATTTTTTTCTACACAAAATTACTATGAATAACTACATAGAGTTCCATGAAACCATTAACAGAAATACCCATTAGTTAAATCAAAAGTTCGAATAAACAGACCTCTTCAGTTTATTCTCATTAATCTTTGGTGAATGTTACTGCAATTATTATCTCTTTTTCAGATTGCAACACATACATTTTTTCAGATTTCGAGATACATTTTTTACTATAAATTTTCCCCGAAAAAAAATTATTTTCCTCACTTAAATGCCGAACACTTTTACCCAGCAGCTCGCTGTCAGCAAGGCACTTTAAAGTCCCAGCGTGCTAGCCTCATCAGAGACTCGCGCGTAAACAACAAGAAACACAAGAACAAATCCTAAAAAAATCCGACGAGAAACACAAGTTTGGGTCAAAAAACTCAGAGCCTCCGCCTGGTGTCGTGTAAAAAACCTGGCACCTTACACCGCCTCAGCCGCCGGAACTCTACACAAGCAGAGCCTACACAAGTACACAAGCAGGACCTACACAAGTACACAAGCAGGGCCCACACAAGTACACAAGCAGGGCCCAAACACAAGTGTATAGACCCGCAAGTACACAAGCAGGGCCTACACAAGTGTATAGACCCGCAAGTACACAAGCAGGGCCCACACAATTGTATAGACCCACGAGATAAGCGAGATCCACACAAGTGTATAGACCCGCAAGTATACAAGCAGGGCCCACACAAGTGTATAGACCCGCAAGTACACAAGAAGGGCCTACACAAGTGTATAGACCCGCAAGTACACAAGCAGGGCCCACACAAGTGTATAGACCCACAGGCCATGAGTCATCGTCAGGGCATAGGACACTGAGAGAAATACGTGAGACAAAGCAATTGTTGGGGATGTAGAGCAGAGGGTGGTTTTAGACGAAAAATTGCTCATTTACTCTATAAATATTGATGAAAATAGATATAACTTGCTATGTTTAAATAATAAATAATTAATTTAATATAATTATATAATATTTATAGATACAAATGATATAACTTGTTATTTGATTATTTATGTAGTTAGCTCTAATTAGGCGACTAATACGAGTAGGTATTTAAGGATCTTTGAATAGGTTGCAAATTTATAAGTGTTGAGTTTAGAATATTTACGAAGACCACAAACGAAGAGGAATGTATGCATGAATAGAGGGGAATATTTGCCCATCATTCTGATATATTTTTCCTAAGTTTACTATATTATTCATTTATATGAAAAACCTACACATACATCAAGTGGATTCCAAAATAAAAAAATATATCAACGCAAATTAAAGACCAATTCATCTTAATCTCATTCTCTTTTGCGAGATTAGTTGTAACCAAGAAATACAATGAATAATATAATATTTTAGTCAAAACTACAAGTACAATTAGTTACTAAAAAAGAATTACCTACAATCAAAACTAAAAGTACATGCATAATTACTTACTAAAAAAGAATTACTTACAATAAGTAAGTAATGTTGCATTTTATTCAACCTTACATACATTGTAAGGTTGAAATATACATGTACATTGTTCGCACCCAGTACAGTACTACCTACACACATTACCAGTACATTAGTAAGACCACGTTCACAATACCTGGTCTTAAAACAAAGTCTTTAAGTCCATTAGCAAGCCATAATCTTGTTCTCATTTAAAGGGCTCACGTCCACTTCAATGGCCGGGGACAGGCGCTAAAATCCGGACCTGCCAACGGCGTATCCTGGATACTGGACGCAACCGCAAGTCCCATTCATGAATTCATTCATTCATTCATGGATTCATTCATGGATTCATTCATTCGTTCATTCATTCATGGATTCGTTCATTCATTCATGAATTCATTAATTCATTCATGAATTCATTCATTCATTCATGGATTCATTCATTCATTCATGGATTCATTCATTCATTCATGGATTAATTCTTTCATTCATTCATTTATAAAGGGGAATGGGAGGTTGGTAGGTATTATTATAAATATATATAAATCACTGTTGATCATATTTTTTAGCTACAATTATTTTATGTTACGTGTCTAAAAATATAATTAACAGTGATTTATATAAATTTGTAGTAATACCTAACAAGGTATGGCCGGCTATTCGACGGCTAATCCACGGCCATCCATTGACCACGGAAAAATTCAGAAAATTCTGAAAATTTCGGATTTTCCGAATTTTCGGACTACGGAAAAATCCTAAAAAATTCGGATTAATTACCATTACCTGCTGGTATCAATTCACGGGAGTATCATGAGAGATACACTTCGGTAACTCGTCTTTATTTTTGGTTACCTCAGAATTTACAACCACCACCAAGCATTAATGAGTTCTATACTAACTAATGGTGATCGATAATTAATTGTGATCGATAATTAATGGTGATCGATAATTAATGGTGATCAACAGAAGCAATGAATTCTATACTAACTGCTGGATTGATGGTGATCGATCAATGGTATGCACGGTAACTTTTGTATCGTAAGAAACATGTCATCACGACGCACTTCATTTATAAGTATATAAAATGAAATTATAATTTGTGGTGGACTTTTGACGGCCATTTACAGAGGTAAAAAGTGTAAAAGGTAAAAAGGCAAAGAAATACAGTTACTTTTACAAGGAGAGCGTCATTACAGGGTGCAGTGTGGTGGTGATGAATGAGTGGTTCACGCGCAACTGCAGAATAGTGGTGATGAATGAGTGGTTCACGCGCGACTGCAGAATAGTGGTGATGAATGAGTGGTTCACGCGTGACTCCAGAATAGTGGTGATGAATGAGTGGTTCACGCGCAACTGCAGAATAGTGGTGATGAATGAGTGGTTCACGCGCAACTGCAGAATAGTGGTGATGAATGAGTGGTTCACGCGCGACTGCAGAATAGTGGTGATGAATGAGTGGTTCACGCGCGACTGCAGAATAGTGGTGATGAATGAGTGGTTCACGCGCCAAACTGGATTCTGAGACACACACAAGCGCAAAACGTGTATCGCTACTTGGACAAAATTCCATTCATTTTCTGAGAGTGTGAATAAATTATTTTTATTTTGCTGCCATTTTCAATAGCTTGGTTTCATTAAAATATTCATAATGCACAATAGCTGCTTCTCGTGTACATGCGCAGATTACAGTTTTTATTTAACAAAATCTCTACATTAAAATTTCCCTTCCATTTATTTATTTCAAGGCAAATGCAATAATTTTGTTCCTTAAATGACAAAATTACAAAAAATTAAATGACAAAATTACAAAAAATTAAATGACAAAATTACAAAATTCCGTTGTTTAACGTGAAGGTATAAATGATGTGCTATAATCACCGGAGCTGCGGAAGATCAGGCGAGGTCCGGCAATAGCATTAAAAGAATTACTTAAATAGCATTAAAGGAATTACAGAGATGATCTCTTATCAAAAGAGGCTCGAAACTACAAAACCTAAATTCCAGACCACGGACTAATGAACTGAAAAGTCCACAGGAAATTTACGGACTGGAAAACCGTCAAAACAAAGGCTTAGTCATGCCTGAGACACGCTAAACTCAGTTCAAGTTCGTTGAAAAAATTCTTATTTTTATTGAAAATTTCTTTTTTTCTCTCGTCATAAGATACTAAAATAAATGAATTAAATAAATGGTCGAATAAATTATATAAATGGTTGTATACGTTATTCAGAAATTTAAATTGGAATCGCACAAAAAAACTCTTTCACGAGAGAAAAAAAAAACTTTGCTGGAATTAATTTAGAAATTTCTAAGGAGGCAGAAAAAATCTAAAAATACTCCAACTCTGCAATAGTTCTTCCTCATCACCTCAATATTAATATTGTTCTAAAAAGAACCATTTTAAAAGTATTTATTGGATAGTGAATGTCAGTGAAGATTTTCTGTGCAGTGCCCGCAAGCTCACAACAAGGATTATAGAAGGATTATGAAGGATTAACTCGAGTCTCTGCGCCGGAAACAGAAGCGAAAACATGGCTTACGTCTCGCAGTCGCTAACGACTCAGCATTTAAACCGCTACATTTGCGTATTCAGTGAAGAATATTAATATATAAATAGCCAAGCTCACAAAAAATATGAATACTTTTGATTATTAATTGGTATATTATATTTGGCAAGTCGTGTGATCTATTTTGTATTGATTGGTACGGTTGATGTCGTGTGATGACAAGTGCTGCCGTGGTGCCTTGAATGTGAAATTTGAAATTTTTTTTAAATTAAAGAGAGCAATATTTTAGAGCTTTAGTTTTTTTTTCAAATTCAGTCCTCAGTTTTCCATTAGGTTATGAAAAACAATTTGCTTTAAAACTTACTCCGTCAAACATTAAAACATATTTTCTTCGAAACCAGCATTTATACTAAATTTTAATTCTAATTCATAATCAAACCGGATATAATTCAAGTGAACTTATGACGTTCGTTAATAACAAAAAATATTTTTAAGCACTAGTCCCAGATCGATAGAACTAACATTTCATATACATAATAAATATTTATATATATTATATATGAAATATTTCAAATATATTATTTAAAAACTTTCCATGTCAAGTGACAAGAATTTTTCATGTAGAGTTGCGTGAACTCTCACGTACCCTTGCACAACATTCCCCGAGGGTCAGAAGCGCTTTTCGTTAAACTACTACGAAAATAACTACGAATTCTCGAATGCGTCTCACGAACATTAGAGGGCAACCCTCGCATCCCTCTTCACTTCAGCCAGACCCTCGAGAAATTCCCCTCGTAGGCGACCAGAGGGATAAAAATAACAACGAATTCGCTGCAGTGAATTCACTGTGAATTCTTCAATTATGAAATTTTTCCAACATATAAAAAAAATGTAAAGCCAACGTGCATTTAAACCTTTTTGGTGTTTATTTAAAGGTTATAAACATCAATATTATTATATCAACTATTGACTACGATTTCAAGAATATTACTTTTCAAAACTATGTATCAAACATTGAAAAAATTCGAGGAAAAAATAATCAATATTATTAATATATTTAATAATTTATTATAATCCTCTTAAATAATCATACACATCAATAAAACAACAGTCTAATTAAGGGATTTTAACCTCCAAAAAATCATTTAAAGCATTATTATAATATTTTCACTTTTCAGGTATATAATCCTCGAAATGAATATTAAAAATACAAATGAGGTGGCTTTTAATACTCACGGGTAGGTTATTCAGGCGGTACGTGAATGCTGAATTCACGTGAATGCTGGAATTTGTTCCGCGTTTCTTACACTGAGGATAATTGCAGAGCTGGAGTTTCTGTTAGCGGATAATCTGGAAGCTCTCTGTAAAATAAAAAAATATAATATTTTAACATTATTTGCTGTAAAATAAATTTATAAATATGAATAAGTGTAACTGAATTAGGAGTGCTTTGAAGAGATGCGTAGGAGACTGAATGTTGAAATTGTTTATAACGAAAAAATACCTGCTATTGAAATATTATACTAATAATTCAAGTGATTAGTTATATGGGTAAAAATTCAGTAAAATTAATAAATTAAAAGTAAAAATTTAGACTTCATATATGCTAATCGTTGAGTGAATCGCCTTAACGATTCATGTGAAATTGCCGAGTGGAATTTAGTTGTAGAGAAACCGTTTATAGCCTCCAGCATATAAATGAATGAGGCTGCAGAAACAGCTGTAAACTAAAAATAACTGGTATAGACAAAGCATAAAACATTAATTTTATCTAAATAACATTAAATAACGGTCACTTCAACACCATTCCACATAAACATTAGACAAATTCAGTCAAATAGGACGTGGCATTAAAGAGAGCTGGACGGGAACAATGGGCGCGTGCTGGGGACAAAAGACTCTGTACCTGGTGACAGTTTCTGCTTAACTGCCCCTGCCTGATGCTATTATGCTAAACTGATGTCCTAATGTCCACCTGATGCTATTATGCTAAACTGATGACACTTGATGTCCTAATTTTCGATGCCATTATGTGAAATTGATTTTTTTATCTATTTCATGTAATTTGCTTTCAAATGTGCCCTAGATATCTTGTAAACCCAAATGGTTGTTTCAAGAATTTCAAAAGTAGAATTTTCCGCTAATAAAATAAATAAATAAAACTTAACGGTCCATATACTTCCCGAAACCTTGCACCCAATTCTCCCGTAAAATGCGAGAAAAGCATACCTCATTCCCAACGATGTCATTATTTGAAACTGATTTTTTTTATCTATTTCACGTAATATTACTTTTAGAAGTGCCCTCAGGTACCTTGAAATCCCAAATGGGTGTTTCAAGAATTTCAAAAGTAAACTTTTTCGCCAAAAAATAGAAATAAAAAAAAACTTCATGGTCAACATATTTCCCGAAAACTTGCTTCCAATTCTCCCGTAAAATGGGAGGAAAGCATACCTCATTCCCCTCGCTCCCTAACACTCATTCCCCTCGCTCCCTAACACTACTCCTCGCTGTCCCCACGCCTGTTTCGGCTGAGTGATTTGCCCCGAAGGGGAACAAACTATCGCTTTAGATTCCCCTGGGGATAAAGTGAGGGCTGTTTGGGGAATAGACGGGGAATGTTTTTAAGGATAATTTGTTGCTGGGACTTTCTTACGAGAAGTTCTTAATGCGACCCTTGAGGGATGACAGACGTACGAAATATTCGATATGCATGAGAACGTACAAGTCATGCAGAAAGAAAAAACATACGTTCCGTATATAAGTATAAATAATTGGCAGAGGTTATCAATATTTGTTTCGAAGCTCCAGCCTAGAAATAAAATTAAATAACTTTACTGATCATACAAATAAATATACAGACTACAAATTTCCGTCCCAAGTCTTTGTGTATGAAAAATTTTGTGCCGAATAACATTAAAAAGTTCTCCGATTACGTTTTTGGCAACACTAAAATAATAACAGAAGGGCGAGTAGTGATAAAATTTATATATAAATTTAAAATCGATCGCTGACTTCTTCACTGATTTTTCCCAACGTCACGCCTAACGTATGTGCGATTATGGGCACTAGATTTCAACATCCAAAACTCATTATCTAGTAAACCTCGCATTTCATAGCTAAATAAAATATCAGATTGAATTAATTAAAGATACTTGAACGAATCACATTAAATTAATCAACTTTTCATAGATTATTCAAACGAAACTGATTAAATTCATAGACATTTCGTAGATATTTAAACGAAACAGATTAAATTAACAGGCATTTCGTAGATATTTAAACGAAACTAATTAAATTACCAGACATTTCGTAGATATTTAAACTAAACAGATCAAGCGGAAAGCAACTCAATGAAAGTACCTAGGTAAATAACAGAGAAGCTCAGCCATCCAGAGGGCCAAAAAAATTGAGCTAAATGACAATGCACAGAAAACTAAACAAATTTTCATCCAACAAGCAAAAAACACCAACCAAGAAATAGGTGATAGTAATAATAATAATCAATATCTATGACTGACCTTAAACTATTTAAAGCATTTTAAACTATTTTAAACTAAGCATTCGATGCATGTAAATTAAATTCACACACTCTATGAATTCAGTATTAAATAACAGGTAGTGTCAATAAAAACAAATGTACAAAAAATGTACAATGTACAAAAAACATGATTTCATACCTTTATATTCAGGCATGGAGTGCATAAAATTTAATGGGAATAATTTAAGAAAAAAGCTGTATCTATAAATTTTTATATTTAATTACCTGCAGCATCCTCAAGCTTAAAATTTCAATGTGTAAAAATCATATAATTTGGTAACTGACAAAATAAAGTAAACCCGAAACTCACCAGATCGTTAAGGAGAAGGCTGTAGCACGACAGGTTGAAGAAGATATCAAGCGTTCTTTACCATTTATGCTTTTGTAGATAAAATATATAATGAAAAAATAAGGCCAATTAAGCCTGGCTATTACCTATATACATATACTATGGGTTTTTGCCTACGAGTTATAAAGTTCGTTCGATGACATCTTCTCGTTCGCAACTTTACAGCTGAAAAGAAAATCAAGACACTTATATTAAATCGCTCAATGAATTAGACATGAAATGATATCAAACTTCACGGAGAAGTAATTATTAAATTAGAATATTCATGGAAATGTTCAAATATGAAGGAAATCTTCTAATTTGAAGCACACGATTTGAGTTGCAACAACACCGCGACAGCACGGAGGGAGAGGACGAGCGTGCGCACCCCACCGCGGTTGGTGACTTACTGCCCAACGGGTGCGGTTGCCTGCTAGGCTGTTGCTGCTGCGCGGAGAGGAAGATTAAAGTACGCTGAACGATGCCCTCGGGCGGAGGAAGCGCACAACTCCGGTTCAAAAATCACACTCTTTACAGGAAAACCACTTGATAAATGATAAAACTGAGTAACCATAGGTTATTACAGACTATAAATAGTAATAGGTATATTATATGATAGAGGAATTAGATATGGTGTATCCAGCGCTGCATCTTCAACGTGATATTAAGCCCCGCCCACCCGTCAAGGCCATTCGTGAATACAGACGCTATCAAATGATAGGGCCCGGGTAGACTGGGTAGACTGGCTCACAAAAAAGTACAATGAAAAGAATGACATCGCTGAAAAGCAGGTGCTTCGGTCCAAGAAAACTGAAGAAAATTGTATGCCTCTGAGAAAGATAGAAATAAATAAAGGATCGATCGTGAGCGTAGCTAGTATACTTGGAGTCGAGTTACGAATTGTGTAACGTTGAAAGCGTTGAAGAGGTTGAACTACAAGTGGCATCGTTCAATGGCTAAGAAAATAATGCGTTACAATAACTTGCCCACAGGCTTTGTTATTGTAGTGAAAACAGCGTATGAAAGCTGATCGAGATCAAAAGCTATTAAGGTTTACTGAATAGAACCCATTTTTTTTCACAACTTTTTTATACGTCAAAACCTGTCTAATTTTTATCAACAATCTTTTTACCTTGAACTTTAACTCTTTAACATAAACTTAAACTTCACTCTCATAATAAATGTTCTGAAGTCTGCGTTCACCACATTTCGTTTGCGTCAAAAGTTTTACCGCATAACTCAAAACTTTAACATTCGTCGGGATAAGCGACATATTTAAAGCTTTTAAAACATTTCTAACTTCCGCTACTTGCATGCGCTTTCGTCAAAAATACAAAGTATTTTATTTTCGAAGCAGGCATGGCTGAAAATAATCAAGAGCTATCTGTTTTATATAGTATTTATGATAAATAATAACGTTGTGCTTAGACCATTTGATCACACTATTCACCAGAATATATTAAGAAAATTATTTAGTCGATAATAGTATAATTAAAGTGTTTAATGAATATAATGTAAATTTTTAGCTATTGTCTGTAAATTCAAACATAGTTTGTTCATGTAACCAAAAGTTCAGTGTATGAACTTAGGTTTAGATATAATTTTTTACTTAGTTTGTCTGTTTCATTAGCTGCACCATGGCTGCATTGCGTTCATCAACCAACAGAACAATAGTATGCCGATAACAGTTGTTCACAATACCGGTATAATACCAGCATATATTAAATAGTGTAAACAATATTCAAATTGTATCCAATATACCCTTGATTTGTACTATTGTCGTTTCCAAAATTCAATTTCAAGTGTTGTAAAACCTTCATCAGCTTGATAATGAAAATTGTATTTTCGAAACGTCGCAAACTATTAAAATGTCATTCGGAAACCTGCTTTTTGATCTCCCGGCGCCAGCAAGAAATTTTGTTCGACTCATTAAAAAAACGAAAAAGAATATTATTAATAAATAGCATGCTCTGGTCTTCAATCAAACTTGCATAAAAGAAAAGCTTCTGCCTTACTACACCAATAGTGTAAACAGTATATAAACAGTATAGATGTATACTGTATACTAGCGTATACTAGCTCTTCCGATTTTTTCCTCCTTCCTTTAACAGTTTATTTAAAACTACACGTGGGCTACCGTCTTTTTACAACAACTTCCACAGACCATTGCCATTTTATTGCCCTTTTTCGAGGATTTTTTCAGCAGAATTTCTTTTCGCTGATTTTTTATTTTTCTTCGTGAACAAATTAAGCTGAAACGCTTCGGCACTTCAGTAAATTTTACGGGACGTCAGCCTCGTGAGCGTTTTTTTTTCAACTGAAGTATTGTGCCGTACTTTTTTCAAGAGAAATAATTATCTTTCATTTTAGTCAACATCAAGAAGCGTTTCTTCGTTGCCAGTCCTAATGGCTTGCAATCCTTGGCATCTCGAGCAACAAACTTCACGAGCAAAAAATTTTTTCAGCAGCGTTTATATGTTACAGGCCAGGACATTGTAAACTCTGTAAAGTCTATAAACTTTTAAATTAAACTAGAGCACCCGAATCATTGTATGTACATTACCTTTGGAAATAAAATTTCTAGCACATAAAAATTGTTATCTGAAGTTTTTTCAATGTCGATTTTAATTGAGTCTATAGTACGCAGAGAAAAAAGTTAAAAAAACGCCCAGCAGAAACGGAAAAAATCGAATGAGTAGACACCCAAAGCGTTTTAGCCGTGCGCCGTTTAGAGCTAAGTTTCGTCATGGCTGGACTGATGAACAACATTGCTGGTAGAAACGAATTAGGCGCATTTTTAGCGCATTTTCTCATTCATGCTTAGCGCATTTTTTCATTTATGGAAAAAATTTTCTGTTGTGCTCGTCATATCGGCCTGTCTGTCTGTCTGTCTGTCCGTCTGTCTGTCCGTCCGTGACTTCACGTTTTCGTCTATACGAGAAAATGCGCTCTCTGCCACTCACTGCAGTGAGTACTGAGTTATATTTTTTAATGAATATATAGGAGCTTTCAAATTTATGATCCAAATCGTCGCTGTATAAGCATTAGAATTATTAGTTATTATATAATCCGAATGGAAACTCCCATCAATTTCTATATAGTCCATTAATTTCTTATTTGTGAATTCCTCACTTAATAATTTGCTTCAAAATCAGACAATAACATAATTTTTAATGAAATAATATTATACAATGATGGTTGTAATATTTACACAAGTATACTGAACATTAGTTTGAGACGGTGAACAACTATAATTATTAATCATAATATGATCATAATAATATTATAATAATAAATCATATTCATGATATATTCTGCAGTAAAGAGGCTTGGCAGCGCCGTTGCCATCCACGACGCCTGTCAAGGGCAAGACCGTTGGGTGAGTCATGCCTGTACTCATGAGGGCTGTGAGTGAGGGGTGGGTGAAGGGTGAAGTGAGTGAAAGACTGGGTGGGTGGGTGGAGGATGGGGTGAGTGAAGAGTGAGGGCATGAGTGGATTTGGGGTGGGTGAAGGGTGTTGTGAGTGGTGATAAAGTTATCAGCGATTTCGGTTTTGAATTGGGGTGGTGAATGGAGGCTGGGTGAGTGGGTAGAAATCAAGTGAGTGATGAGTGGGCAAGTGTGGTGAGTGGTGAATGCACTAACACTATAAATAGTTAATATTGATGGTACAAAAGAGCATGGACATGACATGGTAGTTCTTACATTCATAATAACCTACTCCTTGATATGACATTTGTACCTACAGTGACCCCTCCTTGCACACAAATAAAAAAATAATTCACAAAAATGTCATAACGGCTGTTACGTTGTTAACACTTGTTCTATCCTAACATTTACTTGAATTTATAACGAATTTGTATCGTAATTTCACATTTTAATTGTAGATTGAAATTCAACAAAATTTTCCGACAATTTCAACAATTTTGTATTCGGGTTTCTGAAAATGTAACCGATTATTTTAATTTTCCTTAGTGAACCCAAAATATTTTTCGAACCCGTTACTTCCGTTTCCGACCTCGAGATGTGGACATCGACTTCTTTACGTAGCCCTATTTTAGATCCTGGTTCCATGCTTCAAAAAAAGTTAAGAGATCGTAAGTTCATCCGCCAATCATTGACGGCCTTTCAAGCAAAATCCACCAATCATAGACAAGAAAATAGAGCGTAAGTACTTACGTTCACTTAAACATAGTCAAGAAAATAGAGCGTAAGTACTTACGTTCACTTAAGCATAGACAAGAAAATAGAGCGTAAGTACTTACGTTCACTTAATCATAGACAAGAAAATAGAGCGTAAGTACTTACGTTCACTTAGCGAGTTTTGAAAGTATGGGCCCAGTTTATTATAGGAGCATAGGATATGAGCCTCCGGCAGGATCTCTGATCTATCGTTGTGCCTAGCTTCCTGTAGGAGAGGCAGTAGGAAATGCCTACGGGGAGCCTCGAGGCAATTTTCATCTAGAGCTGCGACGTTTCTTGATCCGATTCTGGATAGAAATTGAATCTAGATTCCAACTAAATGCGATCTAAACGCGTTTTAAGGATGAATCCCCGCATTTTTTCAACGCATCAACGATTGAAAGTAAAAATTTGAGACGATGAACTAACATGGCGAACTGAACTATTAAATAAGTACGGATAAATTAAAAAAATTATGTACTATTGCTTCAGAAGAATTGTGGATGTAAATGTCTAGGTTTTTTAAGTGTAAAATATTCGAAATTTTATTCCTTACTTAGTCATTTGAATTAAATTATAACTCGATTTGAATTTTAAATTTGACTTATATATTTCAAGATAATAAGTATAATATAAGATTATAAGTACTAATATCGAGTTACAAAGAACTATAATATCCAGTTTGAAAGTTATTGAAGGACTTCTTCCATTCGTACTTCTGACGCCATTAGAAAATAAGACGGTCTATGAGAAGAGCACGAGTGTTATCTGTAGGAAGTGTAAGGGGAGAGTCCTGACACTTGTAAAAGTCATTTAAGTGTTTTAAAGGCTCTTCGACAGAGAGATAATGTCGCTTCCGTCGTGCTTATGGCTGACTAAAGAAGATAAACGAGCCTGTATTGTTTTCTAGATCGCTGACTGCTACTCAGGAGTTACTAAAATGTAAACAAATTTGTTAATATCAATGAATGTACGGTTTAAAATAAATTTGAACAATTAGACATTAATGGCTAAGTATACGTCCATTTTTTTAGCATTATTGCACTATTGTGATGATTTTTATTGTTATTCACGGATAACAGAAGGCTTCGAACTGGCTATGTATGTCTCCGGCCGCATTAACTCAATAGATCTGTGTTACTATAAAGGTATAAATAATAATAATAATAATAATAATAATAATAATGATAATAATAATAAT